AAAAATAAAAATGACGCCTTAATAGAGTTTTTCAAATTAGCTGGACATTTGTACAACGCAAATGTTCCAATTAATGTTGAGCAAAACTCAAGTGATACTTATGATAATGAAGAAACAGATGAAGAAACAGATGAAGAAACTGATGATAATATTGTTTATTAAATATTTGACATTGTGTAAAAGTACAATATACAATAAAATAAAAAAATTGAATTTCAACTTTAAAATTATTGTCCCCGTAAAAAGAATTTAAATAGGTTATACACGCTCCGTGCGGCGGTAATGCATAGTGGTGTTGAGCGCATGCGTATAAACGTAAAATCGCAAACTTTGGAAGGCTATAACTTCCAAAATAATGGTTTCCGCACAAAAATTCAAACCGTTTCGAAATCAGCGTTGAAAAACACGTCTTTTTTTAAAAAAAAAAATCGAAATTCGTGAGGGGCGTGGTAAAGTGCATTTGTTCCAAAACTTTTTGCAATAACAACAAATACATTCACATTAAAACTAAACTCCTAATTTATAAATCTCTAATTAAGCCCATCTGGACATATGGCATACAACTCTGGGGTAATGCAAAACTTTCAAACATCAACAAAATACAAACCTTCCAAAACATAGCGCTAAGGAAACTACTTATTGCTCCACCTTATGTCTCCAACCTCTCCATTCAACAAGATCTCAGGATAAACTCCGTCAAAGATGAAGCAAAACTCTACTATAAGCGGTTTCACAGTAGGTTACTTAATCATCCTAACCCTCTCATAAAAAATCTAGCAGTCCCTTCGATTCCGGGTAACCCTGTCAGACGTCTCAAACGTAATTGGTGTCGTGACCTGCTAGACGCTTGAATCCTAGTTAAAATCCTCCTAAACTCTAAACAAAATAGGTAGTGTCATCATTGGGTGGCTTCTTCCGTCATATTACTCATGTTTTTAATACTCTTTTCTAATTTGCTTATTATTCTATATATGAATAGATTGTAAATATCTTGTAAAAAAAAAAAAATGTTTATCTGAAATAGGTAGGTGGTAAATACTTTCAACATTTTATAATTTAATAATATTAATCTCATGAATTGTTTTAATATATCTATTAAGTAGGTACATATTTTAATTTTTTAAGTATTCTAGCTTAAATAAAATGTAGTTATCTGTTATATTACTTATTACTTACCCCTGACTTTTTAATTTAATTTAGTTAAATATATCTATTATTAAATACATTTAATATGCTTTAAAAATAATATAAGAAATGTCATGTCTCATTAAAAAAACAAAACCTTGGTCCTTGATTATTTTTATTGTCCATAATAATTATATAAAAATAATTATTTGTATGGATAGTACAATAAAACAAAATGATTGGAAATTATTTAATTTTTTTATTATTATTATAGATAAATTTTGAAGTAAATCAGTAACGCAATTTATTCATTGATTATACCTATACTAACTTCCACATTATTTAAGGTCTATATTTTGTTAGTACTTACCTACCTACCTTAATATATATTAATCATAATATTATTGAAAACTTTATTTCATAGAGCCAGAACATAATATTGTGAGTACAGAAGTTGTTAATGGCGTTGATGAAGAATACAGTAAAGACAAAGAAATTAGTATGTATTTAATTTATTATAACTTTTAATTCCTATACTTGGTATCCAGAGTACCTAAATATTTATTTATCATAATGTAATTGAAAATTTGATAACTTTATTTCATAGATCAAGAACATTATATAGTGAGTACATCAGTTGTTAATGACATTGATGTAGGATACAGTCAAGACAAAGAAACTGGTAAGTATTTAATTTATTATGACTTTTAACACCTATACTTGGTATCCAGAGTACCTAAATATTTATTTATCATAATGGAATTGAAAATTTGATAACTTTATTTCATAGATCAAGAACATAATATTGTGAGTACAGCAATTGTTGATGATGTTGATGCAGAATATAGTAAAGATAAAGAAACTGGTAAGTATTTAATTTATTTTTAAACTTGAAGCTTTTGAAATTTAGTTAATTTATAAATTAAAATTCTTAAATACTGAGAATATTACACCTAATGTATGGTAGGTATAGTCAGAATAAATATCGAAAGTGAGCCGATTCCGAATTTCGTCTTAGGCCGTCGCCGATAATTTAAAACAAACATTGTTTATTAGTAGCCAGCTACTACGAGATAATATTATTATTAATCGACAGACAGCGTCGGCTGGATTTCGGGCCCGTTTATTTTTCCGAACACCATTATTGTTATTATTATTATTATTATTGATAATATACCAATGTCCAATACTGTACTTACGTTATAACGGAGTGGTTTACTATAATAATATTGTATTACCATATTTTAACGATGATTTATTCATTGATCTGCATTACATACTATAGATACTAAATTATGTTGTTTGTTACAATTTTATAATTTCAATTGCAGTTCGAACCAATTCCCCCGAGTGTTCTGGTCAAACAGCGTAGAAGGTGTGCTCCAATGATAGTCAAACATGAAAAAAGGGAAAAAAGTAGCGATCAAGTGTTCTGTACGGATGTTGGAAGTTGGAACGCTACGTGAGTCGTGCAGTTATTGTGGAAAACCTCTCACCACTACTACTCCACCCACCCTTCAAAGAGTATAACTGTGTACACCTTAAACATGTTAACTGATATTTAACCGTGTTATCGGTCATAAACAGGTTGTTATATAATATCCGTCTCCTACGAAATGTATCGTCATGAGAAAGATCAAAGAGGTATGTGTCCAGCCGTCCAGGGTTCTGCTGTACACATGTGAGTACACAGTGTTTAATTATATTTGCCTATTGTTATATATGTACATTGTGTAAATTAGTTGTTAATTTGTTCAGAATGAATAGCCACACATTTTCGAAATCGAACAATGCCCACACACCGTAAATTCATCAAAAGTTAAAAAACTTTGTCAACATTTTAATAGGTAAGGTTAATTTTGAATAATCTAATAAATAAAACCCTACTATAAAAAAAGTATCTGTTTCAGGTTGCTTTCACTGGAACGGCTAAGGGCATATCGCCCTCAAATATTGTAATGGCAAATAACGAAAGGCTAAACTAAAATAATATACTATGAGACTTCAGACGGACAGTAGGTATGTAATAACCCCCCCGGAGGGCCATAGGATATGCTATAGCTTATAGGTACCTATGAGCATATACCTACCTGTTACAGTGGCGTAGCCAGGGGGGGTTTTGGGTGTTTAAACACCTCCCATTGACATTTTCCTCCCTAATAAAAATATTGTTTATAGGGTTTGTGACTCTTCGCATTATTTTAGATAAGTTATAAATATGTCTTATGAAATTTTTTAAATATCTAATCAAACAAAGTTTGAATTTGCATATTTTAGGAAAAGCGTACATTTGAGCGATTTTTCGCATATTTATGCATATTTTGCATTTTTCTTACTTAAATGTAGGTACATACAATTGTTGAAAAAATCATATTTGGATAACATTAAAAAATATCTTTAAAAATATTATGTTTGGTGAGGTACAGTAGGCTCCAATTTTGAGATTTGGGGAGGCCGAAGCCTAAAACCATAGTATTATAAAATTGAATTAAAAAAATTTAGTAAATGATTGGGAGGGCTGTTAAAGTTGTTGGTGGAGCTTGGCTATACGGTTTGCCCTATTTTCGCATAGTTATGGTATGTTGTATGTAAGATTTTATAAGTCTCTTTGTGACAAGACTGTGTTAAAACTGTGCAACAGGTCAAGTCCCGAACCCTAAATTTATTTATATATGAAAACTGTAAAAACTTGGTTTTAATCTATACTTAAACACCCCCCCCCCCATTTCATAATCCTGGCTACGCCACTGACCTGTTATATTAGTGAGTCGCATCGGATTCGGTTATTTGTATCCGAGTGTAAGCACCTTCACACCACTAGTCAGTTGTCAAGATAATTTGTTACTCATCACCAGGGCTCGGGACTTAAAGCATTTGCTTATTTTTTTAGATTGACTTAAAATGTAGCAGAGTACTATTATAGAAGTGTATGTCATTAACACATTCAATTATGAAATTTGAGAGTGCTTTTTTTTTGTTTTTTTCAGTGATTTTTCAAAAAAATGCTTATTTCAAGTTTTTATACTTTTTTATGGTTTTTTACTGCAAAGTTGTTTTTGATAGAATTAAAATTAAAAATAATTTAAATAAAAAAATTTATTAAAATTTATTAAAAAAAAATTTTTTCAACTATTTGTAAATATTGTTTACATTTTATTTTTCAGAAAATCCCTTGGAAAATCCATAAAATCGTCAGTCCTGAAAATGAAGTTTAATTTTTTTATAATATAAAGATAAATTTTTATTTTTATTTTATTGTTTTTTTTTTTAATAAATATTTTTGCTTAAATTTAAGTTTTTTAAATGCTTATTTGAGTGCTTATAATGATGTTTTTAAGTGCTTATTTTAATGATTTTAAGTGCTTTAAGTCCCGAGCCCTGCTCATCACTTATGACTTAGAATAATTATGACCTGAATATTTAAGGAGGGACTTACAGTAATTTTATTATTTCGGAACTTGGAATATTAACCAGAGTAACATTATTATTTCATCATTGGAACTACATTTTGTTCAATACTGTAACGGCCATTTATTAACTGTTTGATTGTATTTCATAATAATAAATTAGTAGGTTTCATTACTCTAATAAGATTTTTCGACTTTTATTAATTATTGCTACTCGATCGAGGATACCAGGTAACTGCTCGCAACACCATCACCAGATTCGATGACGGCGATCAGTCTCACACTATCATATTTTTAGTTCAATTAATAATTTAAAAATATAATAATATATTTTCTACATAGGAGTTTATAAAACTATGTATTAGGTGAATATATTTTAACTTAAAATATCGTACTGGTTGATAATACTTCAAGTGTGCACAAAACGCTCATGTATTTGACATTGAATGTGAAGCAATAGTCATCCGTCTACTTCCTATATCTGTAATCGAAAATCCATTTTGTTATCCAGTGTTTAATGGTTTTCCTTGCATGGATCACGGATGACGTGTCGTTGGGATGTGACGCCCTCAAGTCCAAGTGATGCGCACCATCTGGTATCAATAACGCCTTGATGGACGACGAGAGACTCTTCAACACGCCTCCACTGGACCACGGGTCCAATAAACCATTGCTAAAAAAATAATTCATTGTCAATTAATTTTTATAGTCTCCTGACGCGTTTGTTCCGAATTACCAAATCGGTTCCCGAGACTTCTACGCAGGTGACATACGGCGACTGTTTACGATGAATTTTAATTTTAATAATACAACTATGGTAAAATTTACTTTTTTCGATTATCGTTGAAGGTTAAAACATTATTGTATATTCAACCGACAACAACAGTTTCTTTTCCATTTTACACAGACTTAGGATAACTACCTATGGTATGGTTGTGTTTTGTTGGTGTTTAAAAACAAGTAAAACCAATAGGTAAGCCATTTATACGGATATGTCAAGTGAAAGTAGTCTCACTAAATATCAAGTCGAATAGTTAATTAAAATAAAGAGTAATAAAAACAAAATTAACGTGGTATTAATTTACGAAAAACAGTTTTTACGATTTTTAAACTCAAAATTTGGCAGTTATTTAATTTTTTCATTTATTTTGTTCACCAATTAAATTTTCCTTTTTAGCTGATTTTCTTAACCAAAATCATCCTTATTTACTTGGATATTTTTCACTCTTTACTCCTTTTTTGAAAAATAAAAATATTTGGGGGAGGGGGGGCTGAATAAAATTTGATTTAAAAATCAAAATAATTTATGTAGTTCGTTCTGAAGTAGATGAAAATGCTGACCATATTTTTGGTGGAAAATCACAGTTATGAGATCTTAATAATATCAAATATTTTTAATTTATGTGTATGTTCCTATTACTGTTACCAATTCAAACAGATATAGATGATTAGAGCTAGGTAGTATTTACTTTTTATCGGTAACAGTGGCGTAACTGAGAATGTTTAATGGGGGGGGGGATCAAAATAAATTTGTAGGGTAAACTTGTGGGGGCCTTTGCCCCCACGGCCCACACCCCCTTATCTATATTTTGTATAATTTAATAACTCAACACATCTAAATATAATCATTCTATATATTACATAACATTATACATTTACAAATATGTTTTAATATTTTAATAAACTCATTTAAATGTTTTATAATAATTAATATGTTATAACTAATAGTTATTGAATAAACTGCAGTGACTGCAATTATATTTTTAATAGGTACTTTTTTTAACTGGTGTTAATTTAATTTTGCATAATTTTAGCGCGAGTTGTAATGCTAATTTTTATAATAAGTTGAATACGTCATACATAATATTTAAACATTTAATGCCGGGTCTAATAATGTTTAGTATTTTAAATTGTAATACTTACGTCAGGCCCAGGCTTCTTTTTAAAAAAATTCAATAAAGTACTGCTAGTTGCTGGTAATTTTCTTTTTTTGTGCTCCATTTTGCTTTTAGCTTATAAAAATGTAACTGACTCAGTGACACTGTGAATATGCGAGAATGACACGGTGTGTGGTGTGTTGGTGTGTATACCTACTGTGTAGTGTTAAATGTTTATACGTAATCGCAATAATCAATGTAGATACTTTGTGTGGGCGCGCTTTCTTAGTACCTACCTACTACCTAGTATCTATGGCTATTATTCGTTCTACGAAATGTAAATCTTAGTTACATTTTTATTATTATATTATGTTTATGGAATGGTGGTTTTTAAAATTATCGGATTACTTACCATCTATAATCTATTCAAAATTAGGTATAGTGTGTGGCAAGGCACCCAATGTTTATTAATAAATAAGAATTAAAATGAATCACACCATTTATTTTGAAATCATGCTTATATCGTTAACGGGTAAATATTTATATACGGGTACACAACTTCTAAACTTTTTTTTTTTTTTTAATTTCGTAATAATTTATAAGTTTTTATTTGAACTATTTGTAGGTATAAGACAATATATAAATACAGCTCATGGGGGGGATCTACCCCCCATATCCCCCCGTAATTACGCCCCTGATCGGTAACCAATTAGTATACTTTATTTGGGCACAGGTACCATTGTACCAATATTCCAAGTGCATGTTCAAAAAACCACCCCAACGAAAAATGTGTAATTCTTTTATACATTTATTAAGAATGTGATTAGCAAGCATTTACAGGATACATTACACAATTTGAGCGCATTCAATGTTTTGTAAGGGGAGGCTGGTGGGTCAGTGACATTGTGTCTCCAACATCCCTACCCATATCTAAAATATCTTTAAAAGCTTTCTTTTTTCTAGGAACTCGGATATTTAACCTAATGCCCTGTGATGTGGCCAATATGCCAATACCCCTTTTCAAAAAAAAAAATTCCTACTGACTCCGTTATTTCACATGATGCGTCTTAAACAAAATTTAAGTATATCTTACTTAATAACTTGTAACATGAATATGAAAATATTTATTATTATTAAGAATAATCTTTTTTTATTTATAAACTAAGATAACCCTGCAGGGCCTCTATACAGGAGTTCTACTTTGTGAAGCCCAGTAATCTTTTTGGTATTAATTTAAATAAAAAATAAATTAGATATAATATATTGGATACATTGCAAAATATTTAATTTATGATACGAGTGGGGTCGGAGACACATGTCGTAAGGGTGTACTAAACTCTAAACCAATTACCAAATACGTGTAAATTGTGAAATGTGTAGGGCAAATTCTTGATAAATAATTGCGTAACAAAATTTCACAATTTTCGTTGAGGTTGGGCTAGACACAAACCAATTCTGTATTTACCATCTCGACAATTATATACTTTACAAATAATAATATCGTGAATCGTGATGCAGGCTTGAATATTATACTAAATTATAATTGCAATAAATTGCATATTATTATTTTGTCGTATCACTTGTAATTAATAATACGTTTCCCACACATGTAAATACCTATATAATGTAATACATCATTATCTTTACCTGAATATGTTATTGGACACAAACCAATTCTGTATTATCTCGACAGTTATATACTTTACAAATAATAATATCGTGAATCGTGGTGCAGGCTTGAATATTATATTAAATTAGAATTGCAATAAATTGCATATTATTATTATTTTGTCGCATCACTTGCAATTAATAATACGTTTCCCACACATATTATGTAAATATCTATATAATGTAATACATCATTATCTTTACCTGAATATGATATTGGACGCGGCTTTCAGATTTTTGCCTCCGTACTGTTTTTCGACGTCGTCTGTGGTCGGTTTGACGTCGTATCGATTTTCGCAGTACTCTGAGTAGCTTTTGAAATCCCACGGGTAGGCTTCGAATATATCGTCCTCGCCGCCGTTAGTACATAATGGCATTATCATTTCTGTGCAGGCCTGAAAAAAACCCCATAACATGGCTGTAGAACAATGTTCACATTTTATTTCAGATGATTAAATAGTTATAGAAAAACGGCAGTGTCTTTCAATCAGTATAATTGGTTGTTATGATTTATAGATGTGTGGTATCGAGTCGTGCCAAAATATAATATGTTAGCTAAGAGTTCATACTACTTAATTTTATATTATGTATGTTCTTTAATATATATTCTTATAAGTTATATTATATATTATATTATATTACCTAACCTAATCGATGGATAATTGCTACCTAATTAGCATTACGTAATATTTATTTATTCTTCTTGATATAATATACCTATTATGATGTGAAAAACGCTTTGATGACTTTCATTTTTTCATACTAGTTTCCGGAGAAAGAGATATTATCGATTACGAAGGTAAAAAATTCCAAGACAACTGAAGATAATAATATATATGTTATGTCTATTTTTTCCCAATAATTCGACTGTTATTGATATTTTTATCATTTTTAAGAGTTATTTCTATAAACGATCATACATTATAAATAAAGTGACATTTTTGATAGGAAATACTATATATTATGTTATATGAGTTTATTTACTCATTAAACAGAATGATTACTTGTGCCTGAACAGGGCTGCACTTACCTGATAATCCCATCCGTTCATCATATCATCCGAGAACGCCGACGACAGATTCAAACACTTGGTCGATCCGGTGTAATTGAAATACACGCTCAGACCGTGAAACACCGACATCAAGAGCGTCTCGTCGTCTTCCGTGTGATTCGTCATCGACTTGCAGACTTCCTGACAATAGAAGTTAAACGTATATTATTTATTATTACTCCATATTACCCTAGCCAACATCGAGGTTCAAGGCTGGGCACGTAAAACAATATGTGAACTAGTCGAGTCACAAGTTGCCAAGTTTTTTTTTAGAAACTTTATTAAGTTTGATTTAATATTAAAAGAATAATAAAGTTAACATTATTAAAAGTCAAAATTCGAGTAAAAATATCTTAGAGAACTATGTCACTATGTCGTAAGGTAAATAAAAAACATATTATTCTAAAAGTATAATATATTCTTGAAATTACCCTTTAGAAACCATCAATAAAATCCAAATATTAAGAAAAGTAGGTAGATACCTAGCCACCTAGGTACCTACTGAGATGAATACTGGGAATTTGTTATTTTTGACCCCTCTAAAGTGGGTACCAACTAGATCCACTTCATTAACTAAAAATATATTGAAATTGAAAATCTGTGCATTTTTACTTCTCCAAAAGATGATTGATAGCAGATAAAAAACACATTATTATAAAATCAATACATATTCATTGCTCCTCTGAATCTAAAAATTCAGCATTAATTATAAAGTTGCAAACATTATACTTTATAGAACAAAAATAAGTAATTCGTCATATAACAATATGTCAATTAATTGAAATTGATATAACTCTTCAACATATTTTTGACTTTAAAATTTTAATCATTTATAAAATTAAAACTTTTGACTCGATAAGCCTTTATGGTATTATACAGATTTAGCTTTACATTATTTACACACAAATACACAGTATACCAATACCTTGATCGGATTTGCCGGCAAAGGGGCCAGAAAATTAGCCTCGTAAGGATAGTTAACCATGGCCAGTGCCACATACACGTCAGTAGCCCAATATTTTAGGCGTGCCACATCGTCGGAGTCCTTTAATGGTGTACATAGTTTCCAGTTGTCCGTTAACCACGTTTTCCCAGAATCTATGAAAACCCGTGGACGTGGTTCGATTAATTATAATATTATATTAGTGAGCAGTGAGCACTCCTGTCAAAATAATTTACTCAAACATGAATATTGGTGCTCGCATATCGCATATGATTCAAAACAACGCTTTAATGATTTCTGGCTTTAGTTTGTAGAAAATTATGAAATATCGTTCTGTTCAGAAACAATTACAAGTAATTTTTAATAGTAGAAGGACGTCAAGCCCGTAATTAATGTATTGTTTTCTATGTGTTTTGAAATGATGATCCAATTCCATTACATTGAATTATCATTATTTAGTTCATAAATGAGTTCAAAAAACAATAAGGCTAAAATAGAATGAACAGGTTGATTTATATAATACATTAATACATACTGCAGTCAGCAGTTCAACAGATTTATATATAAGTTTGAGTGAAAAAGTGAGGTCATAATTAGTAATTTTAATGAGTTATATTAAGCTATATAGTTACTAAATTAGCCTACCTACTTTAAAACAAAGTTAGTGCCTACTGTTATAAAGTTCAGATATTTTATATTGATTCAATTCGTAATGTTACAAAATATTTTACCAGATTCTGTGACCTTATCGATGGCTTTCCAAGATGCTGAAATAGTCAATCCACATTCGGCACTGGCATTTCTGTAAACCGACGACGTCACTTTGTAGAAATCATTGCACGGTGTCATCCCAGTAAATTGCCATATCGGAGCTGACGAAGCTATAGCTCTAAATTTTAATAATAAAAAAAAAATTATAATTTAAGAATAGAACATCTCATACCGTAAGAGCGGGATACTTTACTCCAGGGGTTAAACATTGCTCCAAAAAAAATTTTTATTGATATCAATCGTAGCACATTACGATTTTGAGATCAGAGATTGTAGTTTTTTTTATATTATTCTTATTAACATTACTAATTTTTTCAAACATTACGGACATGAATATATTATTTTTCTTCCAAGATGTATATCATGTAAAAAATGGTTTTCAAAAACACAAAAATACATAACGGAAAAGTTATCCAAAATCTAGGGGATTGAAATTTAATTTAAAATGTATTGAAAAAAGACTTTTAATCAACTAAAAAAAAAAAAAAAAATATATTATTAAATTATATTAAGTATAGGTTTAAATAAGTTAAAACACAAGCACTAAACATTGCACCAATAGTTATTATATGCATTAAAGTAAGGTAATTTTAATCATTGTGCAATGTAACCTGCAATGTATTTTAACTTTGCTCCAAACTTTTGGGAATAAGTAAGTAAGTCACTAGTACGACATTCGGATTTTTTTGATATGTTCTTACCTCTTAACATCTATACATATAAAACAACGCGAACAGGTAATTTTTATCTTTGTTATTGAAGCTATAGTATAGGTTCAAACTAAAAAAGAAATATATTTGGAGCAAAGTATCCCCCTCTTACGGTATCCACATGTACTGCAGAGCAGTGTGTAAATGTAAGTGTAATTTGGAAAGAAAGTACAACAATATTGTAATAAAAACATATAACATCATTAACCTGTTAAATAACACAGATACGAATTTTAGAAATCCAATAAGATACTTGTGTAATCAGGTTTTGTAAGTTCTAACTATCAACTATGTGTCTAAGTGGTTCATGTCATAATTTGTTATCACTGTATACATAAATACCTACCCTTCGACAGTGGCCGGATACTTGATGCGGAACCAAGCGGCCAACATTCCTCCGTACGAGCCACCGAAAGCGAATACCGGATTGGGTCGTTTGCCAACACTCAGCGAGTCGTCACGCAGATACTTTATCAGGTCTACGAAGTCAGCCATCGCTTGCTGTGAAGTCAGATAGCCCAACTTCTCTTTGTCATCGAATGAATTCGTTCCGTAGGGCATGGACTCGCCATAGTAACGGTGCTCGGCGAACACGACCAATGCCTCGAACTCTCTTGATATTTCCCACATAAAGCCCTATTTTATTTTTCGTGTGTAGATAAATTATTAACTCTTCGTCTGTATACAGACATATACATGTGTAACTCGTCAAACAACCACTGTTATTATTATTATTTGTATTATTTGATATATTTTTGTTGCATTTATATGCACGATTATTATTTTTTTGTATGTACATCGGTTATTAGTTAGGTGCAAGCCTGGGCATAAACGCGTTAAAAAGTTATAAGTTAAGTTAATTTTAACTTTTAACTTAACTTTTTAAAATTTAATTTTCATTAACTTAATTTTTAACTTAACTTATTTTAATTGATATAAACTTAATAAACAACGAGTTACTTTTAATCAAATTCAAGTTAAGTAAATTTATACATAATCAAATAATAAATATAATACAAATACAAATAATTATTGATATTACATAACCATTTACTAGAATATGGAATTACAAATATAGTTAAATTAGTTTCTTGTTCCATTAACCAGAATTCTTCAAGAAAAATATCTCAATTAAATACATATAGATATAGCAATAGCCAATTACCTATATTAGGTATAACATATAGTTGTATCGTATATATAAAGATATACCATACCATACTGCGGCATAAGGGCATATTGTAACAATAATAATTAATAAATACTAATAACTAATAATTAATATGATATTATTTAATTTTATTGATATAGATACAAATCAAAAATGTACAATTCTCAAGAACATATTGAAAAATATTTTTGGCATAAATAGGTTATTTTTGGATTATAACTAATTGGGTTATGCTCATGTATATTAATTTTATTTTAAAAGTTTATATTTATAAACAGTCAATATTGTTAGTAGACAAAATAGTCATAGGTTGACATGGGTTCACTTTTCGTTCTCGGCTCTCTCAACACGCAAGATTTACAATACCGAGTTTCAGTTTTTGTGTAACTAATAAATCTGATGTGATTATCAGTGTCCAGTGAAATACATTAGTTTTTAATTCTCTCAATACATTCAGTCTACACTAACTGGAGACTTGTTCTGTGTAATATGTATAATACTTATCTGTATTAATAAATCAAAAGATTGTATTTGTTTCGGAATTTTCAATTTTGTATGCTCCTCGTACTTACTACATAATTCTATTAATTCAGTACCTATGTATAGAAAAGCTATTTCCTGTGTTCAATAATATTTATGAATTTTATTATTTTAAACCATATAACTGAGTATTTATACAGATATTATAAAAAAAAAAATAGCTTAACTTAACTTAAGTTAATAAATTAATTGAAAATGTTCATATAACTCTTAACTTAACTGATTTAAAAAAAAAATTAGGTTAACTGCTAAATTTAAACTTTTTAAAATGTTTGAATTAACTTAACTTAACTCAGTAAAAAATTATCATTAACTTGCCCAGGCTTTGTCAGATGTAAGTGTATAAGCTGGGAAATGTCATCTAGAGTTTTTTGAAGTCAGGTAAACAATAAAACCTATCATGCGATAATGTCATTATAATATCGGGAAAATGGATCCAAAACAATGATGAAGCCAAATTGCCTATTCAGTGCGCCGTGTTACAATAATAGTATTATCAGAAATTTATTGGAATGCGTAAAATAAACAATACATTTATCCCAATAACAGTCCCAGAAAGAGGTACAAATTCCGGAATGAAAAAGTTGAAAATCGCCAAAGACACGAACTTATTAATAGTTAAACTTAAATTAGATTCTCATATGAAATTAGGTGTAATATTATACAAGAAGACAAAAAAAATCATTTACTATTTATCTTGATGTAATTTTATAAAGTTTAAACAATAATTATATTTTCAAGATAAATGTAAACTACGTTATAGTCATAGACTTATAGATATAGCGTGTTACGAGGTTAATGCGCTGTTTAAGCTATGTATTGGCTGTCCTCGGAACAGTACCATTTCTCTCACTCTTATGATAAAACTCAAACTATCTCTCTTAATTCGTTTGGCACGACCACGCTTCCCAATTCTCGGGAAAAATGTACTATATATTTCTATAAGTCTATGGCTATAGTATATATACCACCTCATTGCTTTAAAGAGTTAAATTATTAATTTAAAAACTTACAGTATTATCGCAAAAATCTTCAATTCGTCCTTCGTTACCAGTATAAAAAAATATTGGACCTTTATTAACATCCCAATATTTGTCATTAATAAGGTACTTTAATTCAAATGTATCATTATTGGTGTAACTAAAATGATCAACCTGTGGTAAAAAAAAAAAATAAGTACATTAAATTTCATATAATATGTAAATTTCTACTATTTCTACATATTTTGTATTTCATTACACAACTATACATATTATAATTATTATATTATTATATTATAACGCTGTTAATAACATTTAAAAATATATTGGTACCCAATCTATTATTATAATACATTTTACTCAGTTTTATTTTATTACTGTTTTTAATTTTAATTTCAAAAACAATCGATTATTTTAAAATAGATAAAAATATTCAAGGTTTAAATTTCAGTTACTAGATTTAGGAGATCTGATTCAGATTATCAACATAATATCGTATTTTTGAAATAAAATCTTTTGTTTTTTATTATTATTAATTTTTATTACTCGTTACTCCTAAGCCATTCGACACAAATGACATTTCATTTTAACAAATAGGATAAATTGTGCATTTGTGTTCCTAAATCAATAAATAGGTATGTGATGTCGATCTTTCTTTAAAAATACGAGTGAAAATATTGTACTAGTGTACTACAGAACAACAATTTAAACTAGAATTTAAACTAATCTTGCAAAGCTGAAGAGTTTGTTTGTTTGAAGACCCTAAACTCAGGAACTAGTGGTTCGAACTTCGAATTGGAAAAATATATTTGTGTTGGATAGTCTATTTGTCGAGAAAGGCTAAGGCTATATAATATAATATCACACTACGACCGATAGGAGCATGAGGAGGTGCTCAAACAGAGATTTTTAGATTTACGATGGAAATGTTTGTTTATAAAATGTTGCTATTGTAGGTTATAGGAGAAATAATTAGTAGAAATAGTATTTATTTATTTTTTGTTGTTAATCGGGCCGATTAGGTATAAGAATACATCAAATCGAATTTTCGCACATTGCCTATAGGTGGCTGAGTTGCACTTACTGCAGCGAGTTACACCCAAACGGAGTTGAAAAATCACAATTTTGTTAAGAGTTGTCATTCTTTACGAGCAACGGGATCAGCTAATATATTATAATATGACATATAAATTCAAACAGTTATAATTCAACGAGTTTTTGAATTGAAGAGTTTATTCAAGCACCAATATTTCTCAGAAATGCTTCAACAAAATAATCAATAATCAAATATGATAAGATTTCATGTGAAACAACATTTATAATAACATGTGTGATTAAATGTTAAAAACTACTTTAAATAATATTATATATTATTTTGTCCACTTTTATAGTTTTATATACATCAATAATAATAATTAGGTTCAACGTGGTTTAAATCTTGAACTGTTGAGTGTTTCTTGTTATCTGAAACGTCTCAAATGCACTGAAGAATAGTTATAAACAAATATTAATATAATTAGGTAGCTTTGGATTGTATTATTTAGTAGTAAAATTATTATTATTATTATTATTATTAATTTGCCGTATTTTTACTTACCGGTACAGTGATGTAATTAGTCGTGTAGTTATAGCCACTGGCAGCGTGGAAAATTATCATCAACAGTTGCGAGCACGCAAGAATAAACATATTTAAAGTTGTTAGAATTTCATTTACAACAACTAACAACTACAAAACTACGTTTGGAACAAATATAAATCAAAAATAAATTCGAATTATTCACTAATACTTGTAATAATAATAATATATTTGGTATATAGGTACTCTGCTAATGTTAGCCCAACAACGTACCTATAGATATTACTGTGTCCTAGCTGGTTGTCGTCGCTAGTGATGCGTGGAACAGGTACAATACTTATATATTTCAATGAAAAGTTCAGTATTTTTCGGATACTTAAAAAATAACAGAACTGATAAGATTATTGTTGGTACTCTAAATTGAGTAAATATTACGAGAAAGAAACACTTGAAAATGCGATATGCTATTTATGTTTTACCACATACATATTGTAATTGGGCTAGCTCGTTTAGATCATAACAACCATGGCTAAATATATAGGTATGATCGCAACTTTGTGATACGCAGGTGTCATGGCCGCCACTGGCAGTGATTTTTATCACTTCGATTTATCAGTTTACAGTTATCAAAATAATATAAATATAGCATAATAATAATAATAATAATATGGTATAATATTATTAGACTAATCGTTTATCAACATCAACGAAAGCGGCAAAAGCCGATGATAAAAATCACTGCCAGCTGAGATTTTTTTCCATGCTATATCATGGAATAATAGTACATGCGTAGCTCCTAACGAAAATGCGTCTCAATGAGATCATACCTATATATTTAGCCATGATAACAACTATATATATACATATTTCTTTGTGTCAGTTCCAAAAATCTAACCAGTGTTGGGGAGTAACTTAACTTAAGTTACAAGTTACTGTAACGAAATTACTTTTTAAGTAATTTGATGGTAATTTAATTACATTTTATTGTAAGTAACTTATATGTAATTTAAGTTACTTTTTTGTAGTATTTTTTACTAAATTACTCGCTACTTTTTTTTTGGATTATTACATTTTTTAGAACATATTGATAATATTGTGTGTAGGTAAATATTAAAATATATCATAATAAAACTTATAAGTATTTTGATTTATAGGTAAAATTGTTTAAACTGTAATAATTTTGCTATAGCTATTGGCTATTCGACTATAAAGTGTTACTTTTAGAATGGAATTCTTATCTTTACTCTGTGTTGTATCGTCGCGGAAGGCTCATACAGCATTGTTGGAACTATCAATAAATTCGCCGGTTCGAATCTCGGTCACGGGCTGAACTTCTCTCCGGCAGACATTTGTCTGGAGAGAGAGGCCGCCATCCCTCGACCGGGCATGGCACCTACGGGTGCCCAATTTGAAATTCTGCCAAGCTTAAACACACGTGTTTACAAAAACCTACAGTATCCTCCCCCACAGTTAAAAACCACCCAATTTTCTACATTGCTGAGGGTTAGTTAAGAAAAAAAAAATTAATTAATAAATAAATGTGTGACTTGGCAATACGACTGATAGTAATTTACGCCCGCTGCTACTAGTTTCTGGATGGGTGACCGCCCGGATTCGTAGTAGTAAAAAACTAACACGTGTTTGCATAGATACCGTAACAACCGTAAAAACCGTAACAGCACCTTACCATACCAACCTTACCAAACACAGTTCATAATCCCGTACAACAGCTAATGACCATAGTTGCCGAGCTTAAATTCAATAAAAAAATAATAATAATAGTGTTGCAAGAAAAGTATCATCCGTTAATAATTTCATATTTTTGATTGTCATTATCTATTTAGTTTATGTATTCTTATATTGACAACATGATTATTAAGCTCCAGTGATATTTTTGAAAAAAAGTAACTTCTATTGTAATTCAGTTACTTTTTAAACTCAAAAGTAATGTAACTTAACCAAATTAAAAAAAAGTAACTTAAAAATAATTTAGTTACAATTTTGATAAGTAATTAGTAATGTAATTTAATTACCAAAAATAAGTAACTTCCCCAACACTGAATCTAACCATATGGCCCATTCTATAAAACTATACCTAATTACCTATCATAATAGTATCTGCCAATAGACCTAAATAATAAAACCCTAAAATACCTACCTATACATTTTATATGATCGTGCAGTGACTAAGTGAGACATTTTAATTCCATGATGAGATATTGCAGTAAGTCTCAAGAAATCCAAAATAAAAACAAATTAAATATATCCATACATTGAATATATTAGGTATACATAATATATATTGAATCTTCTGTATATATATATAGAAGCGTTAACTAGCATACCTAATTGACAACATTTAAAACACGATTAATATGCGATATTGGTCTCCTATGTGGCGTATAATACTGGCTATCACCACTGGAATTTTCAGTCACGCACAAGTGTATTACCAATTACCATAGCACAATATTTAGACAATATTAGACTAAAGTATTACAAGTTACAACACATGTTGAAGCACATATTCAAAATCACACGCATTGAACTCCCGAAAATTGTGCAGAATATTATCTTAAAACAATTGACATTTTATTAGATACGTGAGATAAAAATATAGGTATTCATTTAAGTTATAAGGTATTTCATTTTTTGATCATTAAGAAATAAAACAACGTGGTGAATAATCGATTTTGTCAGTATGTAAAAAGATTAACATCGTCTTAAATAGTTAGAACTATTTGTTGTTTAACAAACGAGTTGTTTGAACCTCGTGTCGGATGATTCTGATAGTGGAATATCCATTTTTTAATCCAATTCTTGTAGATTTTTCTGGCTTTAATCACACTTTCTGGGTCCTTGGGGTTGGAGGCTCTCAAGTCCAAGTGATGCGCAGATTCTGGTATTACCACAGCGAGCACCGTCTTTGATATGTCTTGCAACACTCCACCGCTCGACCATGGATCCAATAAACCGTTGCTGTAATTTAATTTTGTACACAAAGTTTAAAAAACGTTTAAGAGTTTTAACACATAAAATCGAGTATCAAGATTCAAAGATTAGTATACACTAATTAGTAATTACTAGTTAGTTATGTACTGATAATAATTGTCATAGTTCTTTTCAATTTTATTCAAACAACATAATAATGTATTTAGATTGTAAGTTGAGTTTCAATAATATTCTGAACTGAAATAAAACTTTCTATTTAAATTTTAATCCAATATACTTCACAGTTTGAAGTTTGAGTAATAGAATACGTTATACACTTAACTTAAATTAATAGTTACCTGAATATTATATTGGAAGCAGCGTTTAAATTTTTACCACCATATGTTTTCTCGACCGAATAAATACTAGGCTGGACTCCAAAAGTTTCAAAACAATATCTAGCATTTTCTTCAAAATTCCACGGCTTTTTTTCGAATATATCTTTAATACCATTAGAGCACATTGGCATAACAATTTCAGTACAGCTCTAAGACGTAGATAGTTTTAAATCAAATTTATTTTCACAGAACATGTATTACAGTTTATATTACTTGATAGCTCCATCCCTTTTCACCTAGTGTAGGAGCAGAAGAGGTCAAAATATCTAAACATTTAGATGTACCCGTATAGTTAAAGTATACACTCAATCCTTTGAAAACTGATCCCAAAAGCGTGAAATCGTCTTCTTTATGGTTTTTCATTGGTTTACAAACTTCCTGTGACATACATAAGAACACGTAATACCTATTATACATTTATACCATAATATATAATTTGTATACTATTTAAGCATTATTAAACAATCGAAAATAAGTTTTTATAAGCCAAAGTTCTTATTTTCTCCAGGGGTTTAGTCGTATAATAACTCGAAGTAAGTTATTATGTATTTAAAAAGTATATAATGCTTACCTTAACTGGATGTCCGGGTAATGGTGTTAAAAAATTTGCAGGGTATGGATAATTTATCATAGCCAAGTTCACATAAAGTTCAGACACCCAATCTTTCAAAGTCGAGACGTCATCGTCGTTTGTCAACGGTGAGCACAAGTTCCATTTCTGAGACAACCACGCCTTACCATCAACTGGCATTAGAAATTTACGTTTGATGAAATTACAATTTCATAACATCAAATTATTACATTAAGTACATTTACGCCACAAACGCGTAACAAATCCGATCGGTTTAAAAAAGTACAATATAAAATATTTAACGGTAAACTCTATATCTAGTATATTAATATAAAAAAATATGCATTACCCGTTTTCGTAACGTTATCAATAGCTTTCCAAGATGCTAGTATCGTCAAACCACATTCTGCACTAGTATCTGTATAAACTGATGACGTGACCCTGTAGAAAGCATTACAAGGAGTCATACCAGTGAATTGCCATATCGGTGCAGACGACGCAATAGCACTAAAAAGACATAACGAAGTAATAGTCATATAACGTCACAAAACAATTTCCAACATAATATATACAATTAAAACTAAACGAGAACAATATTTTAAGTATATTATTTTCAAAATATTAATTAACTTGGTGGGCCGTGATGTTTTACACTATCAGAGCTTAAAAATAAAAATCAATCAGATCAAACTCATTTGCACTATGACGCAAAGTGATTATTTTACCACTTTTATTGGAGGACATTTAAGGGGACTTCCGTACATGCTGATATTATCTAAAACTTTTAAGTTTTCTGAAATCGTGTAAATAACGATCGTAAAATGCATAATAAGAAGTAAAAAATAGGAATAGGAATAATTAAAACCGAAAACAACTCGTAACCTCACCTCACGGCTCACATAACAAAATATCTACCTCAAAATATGAGTGGCCAAAAACATGTAATAAGGGTTGTGTTACAGAGGTCTCAGATTCTATATATTTTTAATATCATAAAGCATATTATTATACAAGTTTAAATTTCTTATTGACATTTTATGTCTTTGCTTTGGCACATATAATCGAAATCGAAAAACGTTACGTTACGAAAAAAATTTGCAAAATATCATTTTTATAATCTGAGATTCGAACTCGATATACGCGCTTATCGCACGATAGTTATAGGTGATAGATACAGGGTGTCCCTTGAGGATTTACTCATTGCGATATCTCCTGAAATAATAGAGATATCGTAATTCTGTTTTCTTATTAAGACTCACAGAGGTAAGCACTACAAATAACTAATTTTTTATTTTTTTTTTTTATGTTTTGGTAAAAAAGTTAAAAAAAATATTTTTTTAATTAATTATTTGAAAAAATATTGAAGATTGCCATTTTGTAGAGTTCATTTTTCTGAAAATATTGACGTTTCAACATTTTAATTTCATTAATTTCCTGATTTTTAATAATTGTTTTAGTTTATAGGTAAAACGGCAAAAAATCCGGTTTTTGTCCGGGCGGCGAGTCCCTCTCTACGTCTAATGGGCATATCCTCACGGGACACCCTGTATATGATAGCAGGGACAACAAAGACATAAAATGTGGTACTTCATTGCAGACTCTTTTGCAATATGATTTTTAGTAAGGTTCCGAACATCCCCACTCGCAAGCGCCGAACGTAACAAAACTACCGGAGAGTTCTTATACAATGGTTCATGACTATTAGGTATGAGTGGTATGACCATAGATATAAACAACAACTAAATAGCCGTCTATATGCTACAGATGTGACCAATGTTCAAAATCGGCCGTCATATGCAAAGCAGGCAATGTTTACATTTATTTTACATTTATTCATATTATAGACATATGGGTATTGGGTATACAGCGATAATATTATTATTTTGTAAATATTGCCCGCTTTATAAATGGCGGCTGACTTCGTCGATAAGAAGGACGCAACTACCTAGTAGTTGTTATATAATATAATGAATAATTCTTGGATCAAGATGAGCCAATCTCACTTTTTGGTGAAATAAAAGGGCCTAATATAAAGGGCTAATCATATTCAAATTATGTATATTTTCTTGTGCTAGAGGGGCGTATCTTGATCACTAAATGTTCAATGGGGCCAATGTCGAGATACGACCTTCTAGCTCAAGAAAATATACATAAATTGTATATGTTAAGCCCTGTATCTCATTTTCAGCAAAAATGGCCATTCTTGACCCAAGGTCCAGTATTGAATCTATGGATATATGACCACTAACCCTTCGATGATTGCGGGATACTTCATACGGAACCAGGCAGCCAACATGCCACCGTACGATCCGCCGAAAGCGATCACCGGGTTGGTGGCCGACGGTGCAAGTGTGCCGCCGGACACGGTGTCGTAAATGTCGCCCATCTGGTACAGCTCACGGTTAGAGTACGACCCGTTATGGCTCAAGTAAGTGATAAGGTCCACGTAGTCGGCGAGCGCCTGTTGCGAGGTCAGATAGCCCACCCGGCTGATGTCATCGAACGATCGATTACCGTACGGCATCGAAACGCCGTAGTAACGGTGCTCGGCGAACACGACTAGGGCCCGGAACTCTTCGGCTATCTCCCACATGAAACCCTGCGAAACCGTATTGTGATGAGCGTGTTATAGATATGCAGAGGTACTATACTGCGGCCCACGAGAGATCAGTAGCCAGTACCGTTTTCGAAAAAACTCGTCCGATTTCCCCCACATACCAGCCCACCCGCTGACAGCTGCTGTTCGGCAACGCTCACACATAGTGCGGAAAATGGGGCCTCGGACGGGTCGCTGCCAGTCATTCTGTAAACGAGTGAAGGTACTGATATCTCGTGGGCTGGCGTATAGGTACATAATATATCATATAATATGTACGTTCAATTTAAAACAAAAAAAGGTGCTCTGCTGAACAGTAGGTTACAAGTGGGTCACTGTATAATACTATAATGGATGGTATTTAATTTTAATTCAATTATATAATATCATTGTATAAGAAAAACGATTCTGAGCGGAGACGGTATGTCAGTCTAGGTTTAAGCTATTATATACATATCTATAGTATTAAAAAAAAATTGACCTATAATAAATTACAAATTAATCATATCACAATATCCATTAGGTACTTATAACGAGTTATACATCAATAACAAACCGTGATACTATCATAGATATATAGTAGTATACTTTACAAGTTTCAAGTACCCACGAATAATATTATACAATCACAACAAAATAACTAAAATAGTTATTCTAGGTTTTTTAATATGTAATTTCGTTCAAATTTGATCTTAAAATGACTATAAAAATAAACTGTGGTTATGTATTTTTTAGATATTTTGGTAACATAATTAACTACATACGTGGAATCTTGTTTTAAATTGTGAATCTTTAGATATAAAAGTTGAATATTTTATACATTTTTAACTACGAAATAGTTAATCAATTTTAAATTTGATAAATTTTGTCAAAATTCGAACTTTAAATTCTTATAATAAAAAGCATTAAATTGTCACGCTTTTTTACCCAACAAATACAATTTTATTGATATTTAAAGAAAAAAAACTAAAAAAATTTAAAACTGACAATGTAAGTAAACTACTTAAAAAGAGTCAAATTATTTTCAAAATTTTATCGTGTATAGAAATTGCTAATATAAACATTCAGTGAAATTTTCATGTATCTACAGATATTCGTTTTTGAATTACAACAAAATAAGGAAATCGCTTCATGAGAAATCGAGTGAATATCCAATGTTGTAAAAATTTGAACTTCAAACGCTCATAAAAATTTAATTTGACTTTCTTATAGGCATTTTTTTTTTTGATAAAAGTAGATAATCTAGCTTACAAGGAATCTTATATTACATTTTAAAATTTTAGATTTAAAAAGAAAAATTTTGACGAATTCTTAACTTAAAATAATTTGCTAATTTTCGTGATTTTTCCATATTTTTTCATAGTTGCTTATAAAAAAAAAAACTGACTTAAGATTTTTAATCTGCCTTTGAAACAATATACTAATAGCCTTCTATTAAATTTTCAAGCTTTTTAAACCAACAAATAAAATTTTATTGATATTTTTAGAAAAAAAAAACTAAAAAAGAAAGAGGAAAATGAAAATGTCCCTAAACAGTTCAAAATAAATCAAAATATTTTGAAAATGTTATCGTGTATATAAAATGCAAATATAAACAACAAGTGAAAATTTCATGTATCTACGATCATTTGTTTTAAAGTTACACCAAAAACCAAATTCAATTTTGTGAAAAAACGATTTGGCGTAAAAATTCCTGTTTTTATTTAATTTTTCTTTTGTTTTTCTTGGCGCTTTTAAAAATGACTGAGAATTTTAAATTTTGACCTCCTCAATGCACCAACCGTATTCACTTTCCAATCAAACAAGAAACTGAAGTTGAAAATCGAAGCATTATTTCGACAACTTAAAGTGTACACAGACACAAAAATTAGAAATTTAAAAATTTAAAAAAAAAAAAAACAACACATCATTGTAAAATCAATACATTCATCGTTCCACTCAGAATCTAAAAAGCGTTTTGGATTTGATTAAAATTTGACAGTGTTTGGACGCGGAAACGTGTACATAATAATATAATATTATTATTGAACTGTTGACTTTGTTTTTTTTTTTTTTTTTTGATTATCTGAAGACTGAAACACAAATCAAACCGTATTTTCACAAAACATTTCGATAGCTCCTTCGTTGCCAGCATAAAAAAATATTGGTCCTTTTTCTCGTTCCCAGAACGTATCGTTTATGAGGTACTTCATACGGAATGTGTCTTTATTTGTAAAACTAAAATGGTCGACCTGTAAGAAAAAATTTCAATATAAAATTAATGTTGCAATACATTTACATACAATAAATTCAAGAAAAAAAAATTGTAGCAATATGTTTATATAAAAAGTTTTTCTTCAAAATGTAACTTAACGCTGTTGAATCCGAGGAACCTTTTACTGTGTCACATGTACCATGCATTCTAATTTTATATTTACGTGGTACTAATATTTCTAAAGTAGTTTAGTGAATAACATTCATGTCATTGATTAAAATTCAATACAATATTAATTATTTGTATTTAATTAATTTTTACGCTGAAATAAATGTCCCAAACTCAAACGCAAAAGCTAATAAACTAAATTTATAAATCAATAGCGACCTATGTCATCAAATCTGTTCAAATGGTTAATTGTTATTGTACAGTAGGTATTGGTATAAGCACCAGAAAAATGTTTGATTAATAATTATATTTTAGAGCCATTAATTAGGAACAATAGAATATTTTGGGTATGTATTTAAAATTTAATTATTTATTCAAGATAATAAAGAAACCTAAACATTAAAGGTTATTTATCACACACTGAAATGTTAATCCGTGTAAATCATTTCACCTTGATCGATACACAATGACACTATGTGACATACCTTTACGCTATTCATTCCAATAAATTTTTTTTTTAAGACGAAGCTTCGGCAAACTGGAATTAAAAGCAACATTTATTTTTGACTTTAGTGTAGTAAGGCACTGTTCACGAATCACGATAATTAGACACAAATAGAGTGGGTCAGTTTTTGCAATGATTTATTCTATACGAAATACAGAATATATATTGGTTTTATTTTATTTAGGAACCTACTCAAGTTTCATGCATTCGCAGTACTACTTCTCTTTAAAAAAATAGATGCCACCCATTTTTACCACTAATCTTAGAACTTGTTGTGAATTTTAGAGTTAAACGTCTTTAAAACCTTACTATACTATCGGCTCATTATACTTGATAAAATATTCACCCCAATATCGATTTTAACTATTTGTACTTTTACAGCTGATCACCAATTAAAAAAAGGATAATAATTGTATATTCACTTACCGGTACTGTCAAATATTCGGTTTTGTACACGTACCCTCCATTAGCCAAGTGCAAAGCTATCGCCAAATATGATAAGCACGCCGTAAACGACATCCCGGACACAACTGAACTCTTTCTGATTTATATGAAAATATGTCGTAAGTGACACAGTCTTTTTAACCCGTACGCTGATTTCAATTTAAAAACAGACTATTATACTCTCGTGTACAACATATTACAAGTCCGCCTCGAGACGAACGCATTACAGTTCTGGTAACGAGAATGTTGCACAATAATATTATATCCATTCCGATTAAACTCAATTAATAATAATAATCTTAGGTACACATACGAACACGGTCCATATTAGATTATTATAATAAATAATAATAAGATAACATTATATCCGACACAGCCACATATGTGATGGGTACCAACACAAAAACCGTTCTCGACGTAAGTCGTTCGTAGTTTGTACTTTGAGATCATAACGCATAGTACACGTGTGAGCATTACACATCTATTATCATTATTTCACTGTTGTACCTATAATTGAACTGCATTATTACTTCTAATATAACAAACTGTTGTGTATAAAACATTATTGTTCCGGTAGCCGTGGCGGTAGGTCAGTGTGGATCGAATTGCATTAGAGAAAGGGTAATAAATTCTCCTATCCACGATTATTTTTGTTCTCACTGTAAATTATTATAATCAATATGAAAAGAATTTGTTTTAATTATAATATAAAGGAAATTTGTGAATTAACAATAAATACAATTTCATTAGATTATAGGTTATAGGTTATTGTTATAGGTACTATATATTTATATATTGTATGTTTATTATATATACAGGATAATAATAGGTACCTAATCCGTAATAATATATTCGTTGTTTACGGGAAAAAACCTCCTATATGAAAAAGTGAAGTTTTCAGGAAACACGAAAAACGTTTTGAATAAAGAAATCACATAGGAGTTATTTCATAAACGATTTATAGTTGGTAACACATAGGAGGATTTTTCTACGGTGGAGATAGCTGCACATAGGACATATTTCATAAACGATTAGTAGGTACCACATAGGAGAATTTATTTATTATTTTTCATGAATTTTACAATGCAGATAGCACATAGGAGATTTTATCAATAAATAGCTAATTTTTTTCTAAATTCGGGGATACCAAAACCTCAAAATCATAAATTTGGCATAATAAGACACTCATGAATTCAAAAACTATTAAGGTTCATGAAAATATTTGTTTTACATCATTTTTTTTAAATCATTTATTTAGCAATTAGTACTGGGCTATTCAGCATTTAAATAATTATTAATTAATTAACTATTAAGTAGTTAAAAACAAAATTCAAAAAAAAAATTATATTTTTACAATTTTTAATTCCTTTTTTTAAAACAGATTATTTTTTTAGTGCTTCTATACATAAAAATCGAATTTTGAATAAGTTATAAATAAGTATTTAAAGTTTATATGATCGGAGCGGAGTGTACAGGGGTGTAATTTTGATCCTCTAATCCTCTCGTCAAAACATTAAGCTACTTGTCCAAAATTGTATTTGTATACAGATCGAAATACTCAAAATAATATTCTGCTCCGTAATATTAAATTAAAAATGTATGTTGTCATCCGAAAAGGAAAAAACTTTATAAATAATAACGGTAAAAATAGAAAACATTTTTCTAAATTACATAAATGAAATATTTTCTGAAATAATGAATGTCTTACGTTAAATGGGTCACCCCGTGACCTGTGTAATATACAACATAGTACATTATTAATAGATGATATAAAAGTAGCTCTACTAATTTATTATTACGGATCGATAAATACAGTACGACGGTAGGTACGGCAGAACTCAGAAGGATGGACAAATGTCAACAATATTAATTTATCAATAAAATAATACTGGTATAATACGAGAGATGACTTGAGAAAATCCTCGTGCATCCTGTTTTCCGAGATTTTAAAATGTTATTACCTTTAAAACTTAGTTAAAAGTTTCCATACGTCTATATAGGTCAGCGTTTCTTAAAAATGTTTATCCATGGAACCCTTTTCATGTCCACTTTTATCGTGGAACCCCTACTTTTTATCTTTTTTTTAAGCTCTTTAAATTTTTTTATTAAGCTTTCAACAATAAGTAATAACAGCTCAACAACTAGAACCTCTACTGGGTTTCATTAATCATTTTTAGCGTCATTTTATGTAAGGATTATTTGCAATAAAAAATAAAGTAATTTCATTTAATAACAATGTGTATACTCTGTTTAATCTAAAAAATATGTTAAAATAAAAATAAAAATTTCATAATAATGTGTACACCGTATTTAATTCAAAAAATATATTAAATAACAGAAAAATAGGACTTCTAAATATTTAAATTTTAATGAGAGTTTCGAGAAACACAGTTTAAGAAACGTTTTATAACCTATATTTTGGGTGATGTACATAAAATAACCTCTCATTAAGTACAATATTACAGCACTCGACAACAGTTATAGCTAATAAACAATTAATTAATTAAACACAAATTGTATAACATGCGTAGAGTAGTCTCTAGATAAACATAGATATTACAATTGTAATTGATTTGAAATTTTTTTAACTATTGGTGATCAAAAATAAACAGTAGTATATTATTGATTTGCCGCGAAGTGGTTTCAAGATTGAAAGCAAGTTGATGTACTTATACTTACAAATTTTAAATTACCCAAAAGTAATTTTATTTTTTACTTGAGGTAAATTTTCTCTACAAACCAGTATAGATCTTCAGTTTTAATCATGACCTTCGAAGATATCTTCAAAGACCATGACTGTAACATTCAATTTGTCAATTTAAAAAACATTTTTTATTGTTTGGAATTTAAATTGAATTATACATTCACGCATGACCTGAATATAATAAATTATATTGTAAGCACATATGCAGCTCATATATGCGATTAATTCACAACCTGTTCCAAAAAAACATTTACATAGTTTTGCATAATTGCATTCCATCTAAATGTATGTAGACATTTTTAAAATTTAAGATTTCGATAGATTGATGAGTCCATAAACATTTTATTGACATTTATAAAAAAAAAAAAAAAATTGGAAACTGAACATGTCAGTAAACAGCTCAAAACAAGTCAAAATATTTTGAAAGTTTTATGGTGTGTAGAAAATGATAATATAAACATTCAGTGAAAATGTTTTGTATCTACGGTTTTTTTGAATTACACCAAAAACCAAAATCGATTTAGTCGAAAGCCAATTTATGCGTAAAATGTTTTTTTGTTATTCCTGGCAATTTTGACAAAACTAAATTCAATTTAACCTCGAACAAGATACTGAAGTTGAAAATCGAAGCATTATTTCGAATACTTATCTTGTACACACACCAATATTGTAAAAAAACACACATCAATGTAAAATCAATACATTCAGCGGTTCGCTCAGAATCTAAATATGTAAAAATAGGGGGAAATAGTAAACCTATCTGCTGTACGGTTGTATGCATCTTCGTCATTGCGAGGAGTAAGTCAATACTCACTGTAATAGTGTAATGTATAATAATAATAATAACAATAATATACTACAATATTTCAATTATAGAAATTATTGCATAGGAAAAACGATTCTGGGCGAAGACGGTCTGTCAACCGGCCATATAACATATTATTAGTATATTTGATGATGCATTTTTATTGCTATTTAAGATTTATTTTACTATAAGCCTAGTGTGCCTGGGCTGTCCCTGCAATTTTTGAAAGGCGCTGGTAAACCGAGTTTTAAGTAAGAAGGGTTACAAATTTATTTGAAAAAAAATATTATTTTATTTGAGTATCGTTATGATTACTATTTACTTAGATTATTAATTGTAAATATAAAATTTAAACTTTTTCAAATTATATAAATATTTCATTGGGGAGTGGGGGGGGGCTTTAAAACTACCGATTGATTTCATCCATTATTGAGTATAGCTATACAGTATATACCCAACGCCATAGATCTAAAGCCCCCCTCCCCTCCACCGCCTCCACACCACCGCCATCAGTAACTTCTGGTTTTGGGCCACCTCCGCCGATCCCGTGATGAACGTGGCCGGGCAGGACAAAAAAGCACCGAAAACCTACTGTCGTATACCCATAACGGACATAAAGATTTCTTCCGTTCTCTTGCGTAAAGGGCATTTTTTGGTTCATTAATAACGTAGCGCCGGTTATTAACTAGAGTAATACAGTAAGTCGTAAGTTGAATTAATTTTTACCTAAAACATTAAGTTTGAAAACGTTATTATGTGTATAAAATATAATAAAATACGTTAAAAGTTAAATGTGCCCACGAATAATATTTTTATATTACAAAATTGTTTACAATACTTATTTTCATAACTCACATAAGTAATAACTAATATGTATGTGTGTGTGTTTGAGTTTATCTTAGACAGCAATAAATAATTTTATGATTTTACAAAATTTCAATGCAACGTACATGACGTATAATCTTAACATGTGTATTTATTTTTAAGGAGCAAAAGTTAGCTGATAGTTGTATAATTTCAAAGTTAATATAATAAATCGATTTTTTATTAATATTGGGTATAATATATAGAAACAATTTAAATTGCAAAGAACCTAAAATTTAAAATTATAGGTATTATACCTAATAATACAATTGTAGATTGTTATATTATATTATTTGTTTATGTCAGTTTTTAAAAAAGCATTTAGTTCAAAGTTAATTTGGGTCAGTAAAAAAATCTTTCGTGGTCCATTGAAACTTGTAAATTATGAATGTTTCACAAAAATATTTCATAAAAAATGCCAACGGCACGTAGTGTTCCCAAGCGGTCACCCATCCAAGTACTAACTACGCCCGACGTTGCTTAACTTCAGTGACCGGACGAGAACTGGTGTATTCAACGTGGTATGGTCGTTGGCGAAGTGCTAGTTGTATTTTATTTTATTTAAATATAAAATTAATCAACTAATAACACGATTCACTTTGTTCACTAACGGAATGAATTTGAAATTTGGTATCAAAATATATTTTGTTTTAATGTAAACTTTAAATGAGTATACCTATTTCATAGCCACTAACCACTAAA